TGTTTGTATTTAACAAATCATATTTAGTATTTATCAAATTTTTTTGAAAACATTTTTCGTAATTATGTATAAAATGTTTTCTAAAAAATTTTTAATAACAAAATGTATATTATTATTTATAATATATATTCTTTATCATATTTTAATGTCATTTTTTCATCAATACAAAAATATTTAATAAATATATGTGTGTGTGTGTGTGTGTGTGTGTGTGTATCAGTGTGTTTTAATACATTTGATATAATAAAAATGTCTAAAAACTATTTTGATATTTTTAAAAAATTATACATTTGTTAATCAATTAAATACTTTAAAGAACAGTATTATAACATGGCATTATAGAGAAATAAATTAAATAACAAAGTGTACCGAAAGAATGTTTTTAAAAGCCGGTTCAAGAATGGATGCAAGCGATTCTTGTGCAATAATTTCAAAGATAGAAGGTTTGATATATGTGGTTCCAGTCAAATGAGCACCTTTTTCTGCCATAATCCGTTTGCATATAAATATACTGTTAATTTAGTTTTAACCTGCATCAATGTTTATCAAATATTAATTACATTCTCTTTCCATCATATTAAAACACAATTGTTATGAATCTCACCGCTAGATACGGAACAAACTATTTTCGTGGTTATATAAAATTGCTGTTTATGATGCTTATCATGCTTTTATATGTAATTATGTCTTCTTCCAAATTTTCCAGTGGTGCTTGGGTTGGTGCAGCGAATGAGCAATAGCAAAGGTTAGTGGTCAGCACGAAGTAAGAGTTCGTGGTGGTCAGTTAAGGAGGTTCGAGGTGGTTCGAGAGCTCTTTGGAGTCAAAATGCAACTAAAAAAAATTGTCACTATAGCAATTCGGAATCATGCGCAATATTAGTGTAACTGGTAACAAATTGTGGATATTATTTATTTAAAGGTGTCACCAAGCTTCGATTAACTAATCGGCCTAGTAATTTTGCAGGCTTCCAACTGAAACTGATGTCAGAGCTGAGCTCACATTAATTCTCCGACATCAGTTTCAGTTGGAAGCCTGCAAAATTACTAGGCCGATTAGTTAATCCATGGTGTAATTACACCATGAGTTAATCGAAGCTTGGTGACAGTGGCCCTTAGTAAATAGAATTAGTGAATAGAATATTAGCAAATGTATAATATGTATTGTCAACGACTCGAGAAGTCGAGTATACACTTGGCAACATTGCACTTCGCGACGTGACGGCCAGTGACAGAATTATGGCGATCATGGTGAATTATAAGGGAGAAATACAGGGTGCTTTCCAATTACTCAACACATCTTGACACAAACGTACACAGGAATGCACAAAGTGTAGCGTTGTGCATGACTCAATTGGAACAGCGATTTCGAATAGAGTAAGGTTAATTTTTTAGTACATGCCCGTACCTTGATATTTTGTAATCCGTGGTGGTGCATTTCCGTGTATTTCAACTAGAAGAACAATTTATGAAAAATTAGCATAGCACTCTATAAATTTGTACAAAAATTTGTTTATTATAATGCATATAATCTAAAAATATTTTCGAAAAGATCGACTAAGGAAGACAAAAGGTATTTTAGATTTTATTTCTTTTATGAATATATAAAACAAAAAAATATTACAAAGAAATAAAAAAAATATATACATATATATTATTTTGTTAAATATACTTATAACAAAAATTTATTGATACCAAATAATTATTTACTTCAATAATATTTTCATCGTCCATTTCGTTGCTTTTTCCTTCTGTTCTCTACTGCATTTAAAAAAAAAAACGAAAATTCATATTCTCCAACCTCATTTATAATCTTCTAACTAGAATGTCACTAGAAAATACAAGGCTACACAGCCCACGGCTGAGTACAGGGTATCGATCATGAAACTTTTTCATTTTTCACTTTTCACTTTACAAATTTCACGTGAAAGTGTTTACGTGAAAAATGAAAAATATTTATTATATTCTGCATGGTATACGATTCGTAATGTACTAATTAATGCGTGGTTTAATTTGAAAAGATATATTGCTTAACGTTGATTTAGTTATGTATAACATAAATATATTTCTCTATCGTAAATTTTTGCAATGTGAAACTTTTCACGTGAGTTTTCAGTGAATGGTTATATGTCTTCTTTTCATGAGTAAATGATATCCTTGCATGTAAATTTTTCACCATCGGACGACTTAAGGTTGATTTATACTGGCCGTAAACTGTTAACTTATGCCGTAATCTATAAAAATTGACCAATCACAGTCGAATGAGAGGGGAATAATCGTTTATAATTAGTCAATTTTTACAGATTACAGCATAAGTTAACAGATTACGGCCAGTATAATCCAACCTTTAGTTAAAAGTGAAAAATGTTACGCATGCGTATTATACAGTTAAGACAATAATAACATACGTGTCTAGTTTGAATCCGCTATGAACGCACCCAGTCTCAATAAAAGCTCTATTTATGAAATAAAGTACGTTTTTATTGTTATACAAATATTAAATTTTATGTACCAATAAATATGCAATTTTTATATCAACTTTATAGAAATAATATTTTCTATTTTATTTATAGATAAAGCAACATAAACTGATAATAGATTAATTAATTTATTTTAACTTAACCTAACAGTTAGTTAATAACAATGTATATCATTTTCAATTGTACAATTTTTGTAATTATGTTAACTTTTATATAATTATATAATTATTAACATATAATGACATCAATCTTCTAGAATGAACACCAGTGCCGACGCCAGTGCCGACGCCAGTGCCGACGCCAGTGCCGACGCCAGTGCCGACGCCAGTGCCGACGCCAGTGCCGACGCCAGTGCCGACGCCAGTGCCGACGCCAGTGCCGACGCCAGTGCCTGACGCCGAGCGTCGATTACTTCTAGCTTTGTCTGTCAGTCAGGGTGCCGTTGCGGGTGTACTTCGTATAGTAAGGGTAGTAGTGATCGCATCTCACGTTTTTAAGAATAGACTCACACCCATGCTTCACGGTAACTTGCTGCTACGTAGAAGTGTCGTGTGTTATATCGCCACACTCTATTTCCTCCATTTAACCGTCACTGCTTTCTCGTCAATTCTGTGATTTTTGTTGCGATTGAAAACACAATCTGTTGTGAAACTTTTTTTTCCTACTTCTCAATGCATAGATAAATCCTGAGTGCACGCGCATAGGACGAGGGAATTATGATCTTTAAGTCATATGGCGTTCGTTGCAAGGATGTAGCAGCGATGTCATCCAGGGTAGCGATCATGTAATTTTTTCTTTAGAAAGGAAATGGGAAAAGTGAAATTTTTTATGTATGTTGTATATACATATACATGTACACACATAAAAAAATTTTCACTTGTCACGTTTCCGTTCTAGGCTGTAGGGAAAAAGTAATATGATCGTTATTCAGATGTTCACTAAAGTGGCGGTAAAAAAGGATAATCGCATATAATAGATGCACTTACAAGATTTGCAGGATGTGATAATAATTACAGGACATCCTTTTTCTTTAATTTTTAGTATTTTTTTTCTCAACTATACCCTTCGTCATCTTAACTTTATAACATGGATCGTTTGAGTTAGGGTAAAAGAAGGGAATGTGAAATTAGGACCGTATAATTAAAGTAGAATTAGACTACTAAAGTGGAAAACAGGGATTTTTTAAAATAAAGTATTGTAATTTTGCAGTAATCAGTGGAAGTTGTTGCAGTTGTTTATTAAATGTGTCATAACAAACAATGAGTTCGGTGTGACAATGTGCATTATTAGTATAAGAATTTATTAATTTTTGTTGCGTCTGGAGATTCGAAAGCTTTACTTGAAAAGTATTCTTACAAAGTAAAGGTAAGTTTCTTAGGCCCGTATTCAGAACGCGCTAACATGCTATAATTTACGTCACGTATAGTACTATAGAATTTCAGAGATAAAAGTGCGCTTTTATCGATAAAAGTGCATTCTGTATACGGACCTTAATGTTTATATTACATAGACACTTTTAATAATGTTATATGAACAATATTTTGCTAATTATAATTACAATTTCTAACTTGTTTATTGCTACGAAAAGACTAACTGTCACATGAAGACATGCAAATAATATGAAATACATCGAAGGCTGAGAATTGGTTCTTGTTGTAAAATATGTTTATTTTAATTGATATTATTTAAAAATAAATTGGAGAGAATAAAGGGCAATAGGAGTCGGACACAGAAGACATTGCGCAATTAAAAACACCACTACTAAGTAACAAAAATCATTTATTCGATCAGTCAGTGCTATATATACACAATATAATAAGTCATTTTGGCTTTTGTGGATTGTCTGCTTTCTTTCATTCTATACCTTTGACTAAATTTAATTAATTGACTTTCTGTTTTGACATTGACTGATCAATATATTAAGAACCGGTTTTCAATATTAATATAATATTAGTATTGTTTGTGATGCGGTGCTTTGTAATCGTGGTAAGTTCCTTTATTCTCGGGATGATTTATTATAATCTTAGTTCTTTGGAAATTAGTGTACTGTATCTTAATTATCATAACGTGGAGGAGCTCATCGTTGATTGAAAAATTGTATTGAATAATTATGTAAATCAGTTTGTTTCTCTGAAGAGGACTAAAAAGTTAACCGAAACATGATGTAAAAGAGCGCTACTATCATAATAAAGGATAGTTATTCGAATAAATTGGTTTGAATAAATTGGTTTTTGTCATTTAGTAGTGATGTTTTTAATTGAGCGATGTCTTCTGCGTCCAATTCCTATTGCCCTTTATTCTCTTCAATTTATTTTTGAATTATAAGGAGTCTTGATTGATTTTGTTATTATAAGGTTTGATATTATTTATTTTATATAATTATTTTAATGATTTAATATTTAATTTTGTGTGTTTTTTATTGTATCTTCCATGTCCTATGATATTAGTTAATTTGTACGTGTCATTGCATAATAAAAAAATAGAAATTATTTTAACTTTATTTTGGTCAATTTATATAAATAAACAAATGTTTACTCTATTGTATTATTTATTATATTTCCCCAAATTTAATCGAAAATCCTATATTAAATCCTATATTTTAAACCCCTTATTTCACACTTCACTTTTTTGTATCTTTTAAAATTTTGTTTTTCATTTATTGAATTGTATTTATTTTATTATAGCGACCTCCTATATTGTTCAAGAGTTCTGTATAAAGTTTTTATACGCATTTATATCGAAGTAATATTATAATAGTTTAAGTATCGACATTTCTTGCTTTTATCCTGTATATTAAATAAATTAAAGTAAAATGCAGTCTTACAAATAGCCATACTTAAAGCTAAAAATTGCATTTGATTACAGATTTTGTTTACTCAAATATAAAAATCGTGTTTATGTATGTAATTCGATATTCAATGATAGGAATTAAGCAGTAATCACACTAGCGATTGCGCGATTATGATTGAGGTTTACTTTTCAACCAATCAGAGCAAAGCAATCATCGATTGTTTTGTTCTAACTGATGAAAAAGTAATCCTCAATCGTCAATCACACGTCAATTACGGCTTCATATAATCATTTCATCGCGAGTAATTCTTCTGAATGTATTCCACAGTTAGATTTATTGGGAGAGTAACTAAAGATTATGTTGAATAATATTGAATGCGTTTGCACCGTGTCGCATATCGTGAGATTATTGTATATTATTATTGTCAGGCCGATATTTCATGTATCATACGACAAATTTTTTCAAGCCTGTTGATTGGCTGCGAGACAAAGAAATTCTCGGTTTTTTCTGTTTTGCAGCTAATCAACAGACTTAAAAAGACAACAACAGACTTGTACGACAATGAAAACATGAAACATCGACCTTACTCTGTAAAATCGTCCCATTGGAAAGCATCTTTGCGAGTATCGTTGGAGACGGAGGTGTTTTTCTCGGTATCCTGCACGCGTAACCAAATGCCGCACAATGCGGTCCAAATGCCGCACGAGCGACATTTGATCTGCGCGCGATGAGGTGAGGGGGACAGCGGAAGGCGGGGGCGATTCGAAAATCGGCCGAAAGTTGCATACACTTTATGTATATTCACTATGTACTGGCACCTTTATTAATTTTATATATATATATCAGTTACTTTTCATGGTAATATATTAATATTATTAGATAAAAAGATGTAAATTTTTGAGTATCCTTTTTTGAATATGGCTTGAATTATATATTTATAAAACTATAATAAATTTTACGATAAATTTAGTGTCTGCTATTATTTATATTATATATACAATGTGCGTGCGGGCGTGCGTGTGTACAGGGTGAGTTTTTAACTTGAGATTGCAAAATATCTCGAAAAATAAGCACGATAAAGTGTTCTAAATAAACCCTCAATATTTTCGAGCGAGCAATTCTATCCCGTAAGACTAAGAGTTAGCCCCCCTCCCCCCCCCCCTGAAGGTGGGGATAACTTTGAAATTTTAAACGAAAACCCCTACTTTTTATTACAGATTCGGATTCTATGTCCAAAAACATGTAAATTTTGTCGAAACCTTTTTCTTTCGATTCCTGATAAATGGCGCTGCATTCGGCGAAAATTGGTTAACATTCGTTTTCTTCAAGGGAAATTTCCATTTTATTGTATTATAATGATCCTATACGTTGAAGAAAAGTAACTCTTGTCTGAAACATATTTTCCTAATTATCGTAGATGTCTACAATAATTTTTTACCCGTTCTTAGCGATTAACGACGTGGATGTTACAGTAATTAGTAATCCGTTTGGAGTGTTTGTTTATTGTGAATCTCGATTTGCCCCTCACATTCGGGGTGCTTCCATGATACAACACCTATTTTGCAAATTTTTACACATGACGTAATCTCGATCCTTCGAACATCTTCAATGAGAAAGAAGTAATAGATTTTTACACACATTATTATCGTGATACCCGCAGGGCCATAAGAGGAAGTCTACATTTCGGCGAGAAGCGAGCGAAAGATAGACGATGCTGAAATGACATAATTTTCTCCCTGACGGCTGATAATCGTGCAGTTCAAAAGTGGCTCGACAGCATTGTTATCGTAATGAATCGAGAAAACGAGGAAGTATGTTAGCAAATATTAGAACTTCGTTCACACTTTCAGTTCTTTTTTTTTCATGTATTCATTTTTCTTACATTTTATGGTTGATTCATGATTACTCCTTTGTATTGTAGTAAATCATGTTAATCCTGTTTATAAAAAAAATTTGTTTTTGACGTCAATGTTAGAAGTACGTAATTTAAGATGCATTGCGCACTTTAACTAAAAATTAGGATATTCGAATGTAGAAATAATTAAAAAACATTTGCACAAGAAAAAATATATTATATATTAATATATCATGGCTTATATAACGAGCAAAAAAGTCCAATTATAAGTTAATTTATTTTAATTATAAAATATATCAATTGAATTTCAGACAAATCAATAAAATATAGACTCTCGAAAATTTCAAATAACAAGTACAATAAGGAGGCTAACGAGAGTACACTCGCTGTTATTGGTGCGATAAAGTATAAGATACATTATAAAAATACTGATAAAGAAATAAATACAAAACTAGACGTTTCGGCCTGCAACCGGGCCATCTTCAGTAGTAGAATCGCAAAATAATCGTATTTCATCGTATCGAAATGTTTAAAAAAATATTTTAAATCTTGAAATCTCTACTTTTCAAACCGATACTTCAAAAAACGGTCTTACTGGTATTTCGTGAAATTATACAAACATAAATAAAAGTGCGTCAAACCAAACATTTTTTTTTACGAAATTTGCGATATTTCACGGAGCCAAGTAAAAATTGTACACAAATGCGGTTTACAGCTTTCGAAAGAGTGAATCTTTAATTTGCTCTTTTAGTGATCTTTATACGATTTTTTTTACCGAGTCATTTAACGTTGAAGCAAAACGATCATTTTTCTGACAAATAGAGATTTCAAGCTTTAAAATACTTTTTTAAACATCTCCATGATTTTTGACGAAGTTATTTAAATACGTACAATTTAAAGATTATAATATATTATATAAGGGGTAGATATTGATCATTGATAAAGACTTTGTGAGTTGGAACGTCTGAAATTCAATTAATGTATAATTTTATAATTAAAACGAATTGACTTATAATTGGATTACTTTTTTGCTCGTTACAAGCCTTGATATTAATCAGGGAATGGAAGTAACTCGTTACTTGTAACGAAGTTACAGTTACAAGTTACTTTTTTGGTAACTTTACTGGTAACTGCGTTACTTTCTTTTTTTGGTAACTGTAACTGTAACGAGTTACATTTTTTGGGTAACGGTAACGAAATTTACAGTTACTTTTGTCGTTACTTTGCACACGATTAAACACGGTTCGATTGGATACATGCTATCTATAGCGCTTATCAATAAGACTTGAAAGCCCTTAGACATTCGGCCGTTATGATTCAGTAATTATTTTACACTTCTATCTTCTA